CCAGGACCAACAATAAAATAACCTTCTCTGTTCATAGGCATAAGGCTGAGTGGGGAAAGGTTATCTTATTATGTAATCAAGAAAGGCTCACTGAGCAAGTGAAAAATGTATCAGTGGAATATGGCAATGGTGGTTAAGAGAAAGTTGCTCTGTGTTTGGCTAATTTGGAAAGCTTACAAAGAAAATATGAAACATAAACCTGTCTAGTAGTATATCTTAAGAAAGAAAAGAGGCCTCTCCTGTTGTGAACTGGCATGGGTGTGTTCCTAAGCAAATATTACTTGTTGCATATTGAGAGGGAAGGGTAAGTTATAGCCATTAGTCTCCAAGCTACTGTGATGTCATTGTGCAAATGTCATCATTACATAGGTACCTGCAGCCTGACATCTGATGCAAGACCATGTTATGGCAGTTGCATGATGATTCCATCATACAACTATCATTATTTAGTACCCATCCTTGCCCTTCCATGTTTATAGCAGTCCTTAAAACAAAAGGCAAAACAATGGACTAGCAAATAGCCACTGTTCAACTGATAAGAGACAATAAAGATTTACAGTGGAGAGAAAGGAGGCACTAGCATAGAAACTGACACTGGAAGCAACACTACAAGGAAGGCAGTCAAAAAAAGAGAAGTCCCAGTGGACAAGAATAACAACCAGATGCAAGAGGCATAGAAGATATTCTGCAAATTTGAACTTGGGAATAGTTTGAGAGAACAAACAAGCTCTGAGTGTTCTAGGGAAAGAAAAAAAAAAACCCTCTGTGGAACATGGAACAGGACAGGGATCCCTGAAGGGCAGAGGGGATGTAACTGTGTCTCACAAAATAACACAATAAAAATGTCAGAGTAATTGCTAACTCTTTGCTATGGGGAACCAGAGCAAATAGATACTAAACAGTAAGCCTTGGTTAAGAATCACGGATTTGACAGAGCAACTTCAAAGATTTATCTACTTACAATATTCCATAACTATCAAATCTATGACAGGAAACAAGGATATTAGAAAATATAGCTGTTTCTTGACTTCGAAAGATTAAAAAGGAAATGCAAGCTCTTTGAAATGAAATGAGGTTGGTCCTTCTAATCCACAGATAGAACCAATAAGGGAAGGAAGAATACTGGAAATGAATGATGTCAACAGGAGATATTTGGTTTGGGACCACGGACTGAGTTATTTAGATGATGGACTTCTGACTCAAGAGAAACTGCTTTTAACTGGGATCAGTAAAATATGTTTACATGAATCAGGGCAAGCTTGATTAAGAAGCCTCTCAACTGAATCTTGTGGGGATTTGGAGACAAAAATCCCTGAAGTATGGGCCTCAGAAAAAGGCACTGCTTGTACATTATAGCATAAACAAACAAACAAGGGCGCTATAATGGACCCTTGGCCCAAAAACTACACAATCTTTATAGTCTAGACCAGTAGTTTTCAAAATGGAGACTGGAAATCGCTGGGTTTCCCAAGACCCTTTCAGGAATGTCTGCAAAATCAAAGTAAATATTTAAAATTTTCTCAGTTTTAATTTATAACACAGTATACACAGACAATAGAGATATAACCGATATAGACAACAGCTCTTTGGGGTCTTCAATCACTTTTAAAAATACAAAGAGGTCCTAAGACCAAAATGTTTGAGACCTGCTGGTCTCTAGATTCTAATGCTGGAACTATAAGGGAAAAAAACCCCAAAAGGCAAACATGACTTAATATAACAAAAATTTAGCAGAATACATTATGTGACAGAAATATATCAATATAAAGATTCTATTTGTTAAAGAAGAGCAGAAATAATAGAAAGGGAGGAGAAACAAATAAAAGCAACACTGTTATTTGTGTTGACTATCCCCCATCCTAACAAGGATAAGATGGTGGTGCCTTCTGTAAGCAAACTGCAGGTCTTTCAAAGAGCCTGAAGTAGCAGTGATGGGAAACTTGTATTACCCAAACATCTGTTGGGAGAGAAACTCTGCCAAGCATGGTCCTTCCCCAAAATTCTTGACTCGCTGACAACTTTCTCTTTCAGGGAGTTGGGACAGGCAGAATAATATCTGTTACTCTCGAAGATACTAAGCAATAGGCAAAGCATACTTAGAATAGTGAAAGTAGTAGGAACATTGGATATAAGTGAACACCAAATGCTGGCGTTATTGATTTTAAGGAAAGTTGAATTCAATTTTCTGTCTAACACACAGCCTGGATGTTTTTTTAAAGTGTATGCATTGAACAAACTCAGAAGAATTAATAGGGGTATCCCGTGGCAGGAAAAGATTCTCAAAATGAATGGGAATTTCTTTAAAAGGACACACAAAAACCACAACTGCCAACAGTTCCAGTAAAGGAAATAATATGTGATCCACCAAGAATTTATCAAGAGCCAAGTTAAGGACATAACTGAATGATTTAAATCTTCACAGCCAGATTTTCACAGGATACTAAAGAAACTAGCTGATGGTCTGGCTGAACTTTTAATATTATCTTTGGAGTACTAGATGAACAAACTGGAGAACAAATTTTGTCCTTAGTTTTAAACATTTTTTTAAAAAGGAGGGAATAGTCAGTTTCATATCCTTATTTAATAAGAGTCTAGAGCAGATAGGTCAGTTTGCATATAAAAACAAAATACAAAAATCACCAGGTCAGAGTGGATTGGATTGCTATAGATGTATCACCAAAACTTTTGATAGAGTACCCCACAACAATCAAATGGATGCATAACTGGCCCCCAAAATGTTACTTGGCAGCTCCTAATCCATGACTCCCCTTCACCATGGATGTACCATAAGATTGAGTTCTGTGCCTTCTATTCAAGATTGTTATCAGTGATTTGAGTGAAAAGATGGAGGGAATCCTCATCTGCAGATGACACAAAATTGAATGGGATAACTAATACAGAAAGGCCTGGCCACGTGAAGCTCATACTTCATCTCTAGAATGACACAGGGAGGATCTGTTAGCAAGGTTTAACACCTGAAAGGATTTTGCTCAGAAGGCTACTGAAGAAGGCTTCAGTGAATCTGTTCAAGCACTTTGCCCGACCTATGGTCATTAGCCATGGTCATTCCTATCTTCAAAAAGGGAGACCCCAGTCTAGTTGAAAATTACAGACCAATCTCATTATGTTGTGTCACCTACAAAGTCACAGAATCAATTATCAACCAATCCATTATCTTCCACTTAGAGAAAAATAACCTACTCTCTAACAGTTTGGTTTCAAGAAAAATTAGTCCTGTAATCTACAACTCTTCCATTGCAAAAACACTTGGACTACACAACTTGACCAGGGCAAAACAGTTTACATAGACTTCTGCAAAGCCTTTGATTCAGTGGTACACTACTGTTAAAACTGCTCTTAAGGCATTTCTGGATATTTCTGGATACAACTGAATAGTTGCATTCCTGTCAAACAGGCAACAAATATTCAAAATATCAAACCCTGCACCAGTTAACAGCGATGTCCCCCAAGGCAGAGTTCCAGGACACACTCTCTTTCTAATTTACATAAATGACCTTTGCAATCATATTAAAAGCAACTGCATCCTCTTCACTGATTATGTAACATCACCGACAACACCGCTGCCTTACAAAGTCACCTTGACTATGTGCCAGAATGGTCAAACAATTGGCAACTTCAAATCTCAACCAACAAATGCTCTGTCTTACACATTGGCAACAAAAATCAGAACACTAAATACAAACTGGGAAGATATGACCTCGTAGACGACCCTCACTCTGTCAAGGATCAAGGAGTACTCATTTCAAAAGATCTGAGCCCCAGAGCTCACTATAACAGCATTGCCAAAAAGGCATTAAGAGTTGTTAACCTAATTTTGCGAAGCTTCTTTTCTGGTAACATTGAACTACAAACCAGGGCATACAAAACCTTTGCCAGACCAATTCTCGAATACAGCTCATCTGCCTGGAATCCACACCGTATAATGGACATTAGCACAATTGAACAAGTCTAGAGGTATTTCACAAGAGGAGTACTCTATTTCTCAGCTCACAATAGAATACCTTAGACCACCAGCTTGAAATTTTGGACCTAGATAAGTACGCCGCCTATGGTCTGACCTAAACTTAGTCACAATATTGTCTGCTACAATGTCCTACCTGTTAATGACTACTTCAGCTTCAACCACAATTACACACAGGCAAACAATAGATACAAACTCAAAGTAAACCGTACCAAACTCAATTGCAGAAAATAGAACTTCAGCAACAGAGTGGTCAGTACCTGATTCTGTTGTTACATCCTACAACTTTAACCTTAAACTGTCTACTGTGGACCTCACTCCATTCCTAAGAGGGGGAGTGCATAAGCGCACCAGTGTGCCTACCGTCCCTGTCCTACTGTCCCCATTTATTCGTACTCATTATGTGTCTACTTATACCTGTTTATACTTATATGTTTATATGTTACGTTCATACTTATAGTTGTTTTCTCATACATGCTTGACAAACTAAATAAAATAAAATAAAGTAAAGTAAAATAAAATAAAATAAATGCTGGGCAGCCTGGGATGCTTCAACCTGAAGTGCTACTTGAAGGTGGACCCGAAGACACATGGCCCTTCCACTTCTGATTCTATTGTGGGGGGAGCAGGGACGACATTCTGAAATAGACATGTCTCTGCTACCTACCAGAAGGACTGAAAAGCTACTAGGCTGGAGATTATTTTCCTCTTTTCAAAGCGAAGAACGGTTTTTCCAAGCCCCTTTTTGATATACAACAATTCCACTGACAAGGAATGCAACCGATCGAGAAAATCGAATCCTCCAGGACTTCTTCGCGTAAAATGCAAAGGTCAGGAGACGGTATGCTCTTCTCTTGGTGCGGGTTAGGAACGGGAACCCTCCCGGCCACTCGTAGTCCACCGAGGGTGGAGTCAGGCAGACCCGCTACTTTCCCCCACCCCCTCGCTTGGCCCATGCAACGGAGGGGGCGCGGCCTCATCGGGCGGGGGTGGAGTCTCAGACAGTCGCGGGGTCCCTGCTGGGCAAGTCCGCTTCGTTGGCAAGGAGCTCGGCTGGAGCTAGGAGCGGCGCACCGCAAGCGGGAGAGGCCGTTAAGGTACGCCGGCCCTGTTGACCAGTCCTGTCCGATAACTGCTCGACGCGAAGATGCTCCGCTACTTTGCTTTTTGCCCGCAAACTCCCTCCCCTCTCCCAACTAAACGCCGCTTCTTCTGAGGCTTCTCCCAAATTCCGCGCCTCCGCTGCCTTTGCTTTTCTTCCCCTCCCGCTCGAGTCGAAGAAATGACTCCGCGGACTGAGGGTCCCAAAGCGGCTCGTGAAAGGTAAGCGGGCACTCCTCCTCTCGCTGGTTCCCTTGGCTCGCTTGTGCCCCTGCTCCTTGGATCCCGGCCGCCTTTCCCTTGAGTCGTCGCCCCCGCTCTTTCGCCTCAGATCGGCCTCGATTTCCTTGGGTGGCTTTTTAAAAAGCGAGTCCCTTCAAACTCCAGAGAAATCCTGTCCGCTTGCCTAAATCCTGCCCAAACTCCTTCGCCGTGTTATGGTTTTGATGTAATGTAAGCGCGTTGCTGCTCTCCCCCGCTGCCATCCCCCGGAGCTGGAAAAAGAGCCTAAAAGGACAAACACCATCTGTACATCCCCCACCGCCTTTGATTCGCCTCTCAGTGCCTTTTTTAGGCTGGAGAAAGGCGGGGCTGCCTGGTGTGGTCATCTACAGCTGTTTGCCATTAGAGTGAGGCGCGCGCTCGTTGCGAACGGGAGCGCTGGTGTTTAAAGTTGTTTTCTCCATTCTCTCTTCTCTCCTTTTTTCTTTCCTTTTTCCCTTTTTTGCTCCTCTGCCTGTCAGGCTGATGTTGATCATTTATTGCATTGGGACGTCCCATAGTGGAGAAACACCTTGGATTTCTTGGAGTTGGCTGCCCACAAGTGGTGGGGCAGGAAAACCCTGGAGGTAGAAGCTCAGCAGCTGAAGGAAAGAGTGCAAAATAAGAAGGGAGTGGAGCAACAGGCCAGATACCTGTTAACCTTGCTCAGACAGTGAAGGAGGGGGTCCTCTTCCCCCTTCCCCAAAAAGCAAGCTGGGCAATAGGAGTCCCTTGGAAAGACTATGGTTTTTGGTTCCCAGTTAATTTTGGGTAGCTGTCTTGAAGGCAAGCCCAACAGCCATATATGCCCCATCCAGCATGAGATCTCCCTTCATTCCTGAACCTGGCAAACCTGGCCAAGGATGGCTTCCTTTTCTAAAACAGTGATATCTTGAGCCAGAGCTTAGCTAAGTGTGAGACCCCCACAAGGACTAGTCCATTAGCCAGAGGGCTACAGTTCTGCAATCCTTTCAGAGGTTATCATGAAAAGCATCCTGGTTTGTCTTTAAAAATTCATTTAAAAAAAAGTAAACAGCAGCACTATTACTGTGCAATAGAGCTATTTTTCACCCTTCAGTGTAATTTTCTCTAACAATATTTTTTCATTAACCAGAATACCAATATTTGGTTTGTGTTCAATAACAACATAAAACCTTTGAAACTAATCATCTGAAACTTACCAGGATTTATACTCACAGCAGATAAATTTGGGTTGCAAATTATTTCCAATTCTGCCCGCCCCCCCAAAAAAATTGGCAATTCATCTTATGGGGTCGGAAAGATACTGTTTTCAATATGATATGTACCACCCTATCATAAAAAGCTGTAATTTCAAATTTTAGTTAATTTCAGATTACTCTTAATGGAAAGTAGGATAAACTTGGTTAAAAACTTGCCACAGTGAAGAAAAATATTTTCCATTTGGTGTTTTCTAATTATAGTTAAGGGGAACATTTGGGAGTTAGAATTGTAAGGAACAACCAACCTCCTGTCCACAACCTTCTAAGCATGTCACAGGTAGAAAGCAGCCAGTCTGAGCCAGAAACTGGGATTTGCCTCTTAGAAATGTGAAAGCAAATAAGAGAGCCAGGAAAGGAAGGGGACAATATGGGCTGCGGCGTGGAGGTCCCCTTCAGGTGCAACTCCTGGGAGACAGAGCTCTAGAGAAAGGACTAAAATAGGTAGCAGCATTTTCATCTTGGCCAGTGGTGGGATTCAAATTTTTTTACTACCAGATATGTAGGCGTGGCTTGGTGGGCGTGGCAGGGGAAGGAGACTGTACAATCTCCAGTCAGAGGTGGTATATGTTGGTTCTCCAAACTACTCAAAATTTCCGCTACTGGATCTCCAGAACTGGTCGAAACCTGCTGAATCCCACCGCTGATCCTTTGATCCAGGCAACCAATTGGCAAAGACCACACCATGACCTCTTCTCACTATAGGTCCTCCCTATTAGAATTAAGCCGACAGGTTCTGGATATGCCTATGACAGTGTCTTGATGCAGATTTAGAAATACAGACACTCATTGACCTGACCTGCCCAGGTGTGGTGGTTCCACACACTTCCACAGGATTGGGTAGTTTCTGCCCTGATCTGGTCACCCTTCTCTTAACTGAAGGAGTGCAAGCCACACCAAATAACTGGGGAGACTGCAAGATGCTTTGAGACCCTCCTATTTTTTATCTCTGAAAATAATAGCAAATACTTGTAAGTCAGGTTTTAGATTTTGGCAGTGGTTTGCTCTTCAAGCTCATTTAAATTTAGTTTCTGAACATTTCGTTATCAGACTAGGTAACATCAGCAGCAGGATTTTCTTGTCCTCTTCTCCTTAGTTTATAAACGTCTTGTGTGGTCAGTTGGTCATGTGATTAGTTGTTCATATGGAGTTGCTCCATGATGTTACCCAGTCTGGTAATGAAACATTCAGAAACTAAATTGAAACAAGCTTGAAGAGCAAACCAATTTCTTACCTCTATTTGTCATAAATGTTCTGGAGCAGAGTGTCTTAGAATCTGTTTCTATGCAAGAGAATTTCCTGTCTAATCTGTAGCCTAATTCCACTGAAGTCTTCCATTCCTGGGTTTATATTCATTTCATGAAAAAATTGCTATCTGAATAAGGCTCATTCTTTATTTTGTAGAGACCACTCAAAAGGGTAGGGCCTGCCAAGTGTCTAAGCACAAGGTGGAATGGAGTGTTGTTTCACTCCCTGATGCGTTGCTTGGTGAAAACAAGTTCTTTCAATGCAATTTGAAATGATATGTGTGATCATCTCCATACTGAGATTTATCTGTGGGGAGAGTTAAAAAAAACTAGATATGGTAGTTGCAATTATATGAATTAAGTTGCATCCCTTTTTCATGGGTCATATATCGACATGCATAAGAAAAAGATGAAATTTCAGTTGCATTGCCATGACCCTCTGCTCAATAGACCATGCCACTTGTGAGTGCAGTTAGAAACCACTAGAGATCAAGCAGTGCTTTATCCAAGAGACCAAAAGGAAAAATCATTCAGTGTCTTTCTAACTGAGTAAAGAGTTAAAAAAAAATTCCTTGAACTAAAGTGAAGAGTACATGCCATATGCATTTGGTCATTTTCAGAAAAACTGAGTCATATGTATAAAAGGAAAACTGCCTATCAAGATTGCAATTTTCCTATATACAATTTCCCACTGGAAACTGTGGGGAAGGCAGGACAGGTAGTTTTGTAGGCAGGTGCTCTTCTCAACAATTGCAGCCACAGTTTGGGTTTCATGCAGTGTTGGTGGGAGTGATCACTTGCCTAAAGGCAGAAAAAGAGCCTGATTGTGCATACTGCAGAGTTTTGTTTTGTTTTGTTTTGTTTTGTGAGGATTGTGAAACCATCAAGAAGAATTAAGATTATGTTGCTGGTGAAAGTTCCCTGTGAAATCTACAGGGAGCTCCAAATTCAAATTACAATGCAAAGGAAGGCAGGAGTTGTGAATGGAAACATGGCCCCACCCCAAGCCCACAAGGCTCCACCATCACAAATTGCTAAATTGAAGAGTTGCTATGTGAGCTGTACTGTGTCAGACCTGGAAGAATGTTGGCTTGTTTGCCCAAGGAGGTTAATGTTGTAGGAATATAGCAGGGCCATGTTGATGCCAAATTAGGGCAACTATTCCATATTGAGAGGTCCTTGCTAAAGGGTGCAAGATTTTGTAACACTGCAGTTTTCCCTAACTGGCAGCTTAACAGAGTAAATAAAAAAAATCTGCATTCAGGGATAACTGTCACACTGAGGCTAAACCTTTCTACTATCCTTGTAAATTGTGTTTGTGGGACAAGGTTACTTCAGGATTTCATGTTCTTGAAATCTTTGAGAAGAAAAATGGCTGTGCCTGAATTTCACTCTCTCCTCTTAAACCCAGCATCTGATGTTATAATATATTAAATTTATCAGGTGATCAACAAACAATTATATTGCTTTAAGGTTGTAATTGGACCCCAGGATATTTATGGTAGCAGAAATTTCAGTTATAGATATTCAATCTTCCCCTGAAAAGTATAATACAGAAAGAAAACAAAAGGCTTTTGGATTCTCAAGCAAGTTTGCAGAGTATTTGACAAGATGATAATAACACATTCACAGGGCAGGAAGCTCCTCTTCCCCGGTAAGCTTCCTAGGAAGGAGATGGTGAGACTTCAGAATGACATTCATCTCTGGTTACTAACACAGGTCTTATCCCATTTGAAAGGTAGCCAAAAAGTACCTTAGTGCTGGGGGAGGAGAAGTAGAAAGCTTTCAACTTACTGCTTAGAGGATAGTGAATATCTCACCAACAGAACAGAAGGGAAAGAAAAGACAGTAAACTCAAGGCTGTGTTTGGGAAGGATACAGACAAATATCCTACAGGGGAATTGATCACACTCTTATGTCCAGTGGGTATTATAATAATCAGAGGTCATAACATCACAAATGACTTCAGACAATAGTGATTGACCCTTCAAATAGCCTTGTGTGATGCACTTTTATTCCATTTCTGCTCAGTGTTCAATTCTCTTCTGACATGCTTGCTTGGTCTAAGCCCTGATTTTCCAAGTTATGCTGGTATTATTCTCCAGCACGTCATACCTCTTTCTCCTAGAACCACAAAGGAAAAAAACTTAATTCTTCACGCAATGCACAAGCTCCATCTGCAGAGCTCTCTCCCCAAACCTCCCTATGAACAAAACATTGCCTGCAGGACATCCTGCAGTTCCAAAGTTG